GAAAATTACCTAATCGGAGGGTACGAAGTTGCGCGACGATTTCGTACGTATCTCGTATAAATCAAGATTTCACGTGCACCCGAGCGGAGCACCTTCGCGAGAACTTTGGAGCTTTCGCGCACAATTGCCGGGGCTAGTCGTCCCTTGCCTCCTCTTTCGGTCTCTTTCGCAGCAGAGGCAGAGAGTTGAATGGAGAGCAGATCTGCAAGTGAATCGAGACTCACAATTATCGCGTTAGTCCCTTGGCCCCAGCTATGCATATATACGTATACGTTGCAAGCACCATTGAACCGAGATCGCGGGTTGTACATATATACCGTACAGTATATGTAGTCCCGAGGACGGTCTTTTTGTGTCTCGGCAGATTATAGTCCCTTGAATCACTCCCGGTCTCTCGGCACTCGAGCTTACGACTTTGTTCATTCAAATAGCTAAAAAATATCACCTTTTCCCGCAACGGTAAACGAGTAAGCACAAAAGTTCCTTTTGGATGCTCCAATGAGTTTGGCCAATAGAGACGTCAGCCGCGCCCACTTTGAAAGTGCGTCTCATAAATCACGGTGGGATGAAAAAAAATAAAAGTACCATAATGGCTCGCATGACCCCAGCACGCAATTACAGCAAGTGTACGGAGAGAGAAGAGCCACGTAAAACTACACCCGTCACCCTCCCTACTCCATGCCTCCTTTCGCGCTCAAAGCCCATCCCGTGGGACTTTGAAAAACGTTACCCCCCCACCCCCCCACGGAGTCATCCCCTTTCAGTTAGATTTTCCTCTCGCGAGCCTCTTCCAAAGCAATTTAATGCCCTGTGGACTCCCACGGGTGCAGCGAGTCGGAGCTCCAAAATATCGCGTGTTGCACGGCTATCTTTGTTTCTCGCGGCCTCGGGGAAAAATTTACGACCCCCCCCCCACCCCTCTCCTACAGGAACTGTCTCTATTTCGGGGTGGCCGGAGGGGCTTTGCTGGGTTTTTCGACCGTGAGCGCGTGCGTTACACGTACGAACGATTTCGCGCTAAAAGAATACCTTCTCTGATGCCCCTCGACAACCGGTGAACGGGAGACAATAGAGGTGTTTTCGGGCTGATGATGAAATAAAATATACATTTTGCCGCGTCCCTCGATTTTTTTTATTTCCCTGCACGGGTCGTCGGGCGCATGTATTATTTCAGCTTCGCCACTGTAACAACAGCAGAGGGGGAGCACCGTAACGTCATAAATGCGCAGGTAGGAAGAAATAACCGGGGGGAAACGGGCCCTTGGGACGTGCCGGAAGAAGGCCGTACACCCCCAAAGCGCACAAGCACGGGCAAACAAGTTTTTTCGCCTACAAGCGCTGACTCAGCGACGTTTCTATTTTTTTTTTTTTCGTCATATTCCGTCCACGCTTTAGTCGCACGTTATTTCCAAGGACCATGACGAGTCCTCGAAAAGTCAAGTCGACGCTTGAATGTGGGCGTGATTAAAAAAATATCGCGATACGAATAATTTGCGACAATAGCGCGAGAGCAACGGAAAAATTCAGAATAAAAAAACTGAGGGTGTGTGTTCCGGACCAGCGTATCCAACCTGCACGTGAGCGGCATATAACGGCCAGGGAGGGGTAAACGTGTACCTATACGCCTTCGCGTTTTTTCCATCGTATACAACGCATGTATGTATGTATGTATGTGTAGGGAGTTCACGTAAACTCCACCATTGTAATCCACCAGCAGAATCCAATTCCCAAGAGCTACTCGGTAAAGCTAAGACAGTCGACCGATTTCCGATTACTCTCCCCCTTCGTCGACAACTCCAGCGTTACACCTCCCGTCGTACCAAGCTCCTCCTTACCATTGCTTCCTCGTTTCGTTTCCATTACTTATACGCGTGAGTGTCGCAATCGTTCATCGCGATCGTTCTCCATTCGCGGCACATCGCGGCGGTTGTGCCCCGATAGTCCGGCTACATCTGTCACGAGGGGTGGTTTTATTTTTTTCTTCGTTACCTCAACGGGACTCCGATAAACAGATACGTATATACTAAAATAAAATTTCATCTCGTTCGGTTGCGCTGGCTGTGTTTTCATTTATCATTGCCTCCCGTCTCCCTCCTATAATTTGCTCGCTTTCCGTCCTATATTTTTCTCCTCCCATCCGCACCGACGTCCCTATAGCCAGGTGTCCCATAATCACGTTTCACCGCAGGATCCGCGGCAAAATGAATTTCCAGCGCCACCGGGCCCCACCCGATAACGCCGTTCCTTCCCTCCCCCCTTTTCCTCGTTCTCGCGTGGCCTGCAGATTTTTTCTCTCCGGGTGATTTTTCACTCCTACCGACCGATGATTCGATTCGCCCCGCTCCGGACGAGTACGGTAAATAAAGAAAAACACCAAGCTCTCGCCCCTCCCCCCACGATTTAATAAACCTTACAAGTTTACCCTCCAGTAATGGCGCTTGGATGAAGTAAAAAAAAAAAAAGGGGGAATAAGAAAATTGTTTCAAAATATGTACCTACCTCGAAAATCGTTATGCAGCTCCCCACATTTTTCCAAACACTCGCTTTTATACCCCCAACCCGTATTTTTTTAACAGCTGGTCGTTCCAGCCGCCGTATATAAACGACGAAAGCTCCGGTTGTTCGAGCTCAAGGGGGTAGATTTACGAAATCCTCTCTCCCCTCCGCATCATCCCGTGTACACAAACACGCGTGTACCTCCAACAACGGGGAAGCGCTCCGTTGGCAGCGGCAGGGAAATGCGGTGATCCTTCACAAACAGGTTTACCCATTGTCGAGGCACCCTTACGATAAATCCTCATATCGAGTGTAATAACATCGCGTACATTTTAATCGCCGGGACAGCAAATCCAGTTACAATATAGCAACGAGAGGGTCATCGCGAGGTACTTTTGCGAGAAAACACGGCTGAGTATATGCACTGTGCGAAGCTTCCTCTGCAGACTTTGAATGTAATACGCGCAAGGGATTGAGCTGATTTACGGGTGGGGACTCAAAGTACAGCAACGGCGACGGGACCAGAGTCGCGTAACGTATTCCACCGCGCGAAAGTAAACACGGTTTTTTTGTTTCTTTTTTCCTCCTCCGTGACTTTTGAGGGGGAGTTGAAGAAACAGAGTTCACGAGCGCACCGGGAAAAAGGAAAACACCCGTGCCACCCGATCGGAGAATCTACTTCCGACTTGTCAGCCGGGAGTTCATTATTTTCGCGTGCCCCCTCTGAACAAGCATCGTTTTTTTCTTCTTCTTTTTTTCGGATCACGCGTGTATACGTGCACACAGTGCCGTAAATAGATAAGCTTATCGGATGAGAAATGAATACACCCGGGCTCTATCATAATTCCAGTGCGGGGGAGTGGCTCATACGAGATTCAAGGGTAGTCCGGAGTTGTACGGTTTGGGTGACGGTGAGCGAAAAAACATAAACTTTGACGAGAATAAATACGGGAGATGAAGGATAACCTCCGCGCCCCTTGGGAATGTGTCCCGTGCAAATATCGCCATGGCATACCGATCGTGCCCCAGTTCGCTGTGTCAGGAAGGGGATTTATCAAGACGAAGGAGCGCGCCCGTGTGGGTACTTTGCGCTTCGGGAGCTCCAGTGAAAACTTTCTACTCACCGCGCCGAGGTGTGGTTTGTACGCTTCGGCCGAGCGAATGGGTGTTTTTGCAAGGAAACTGATGGCGCTCAATGTCGAGGGTGATTTTGTAAGGGATTACGTAACAATGACGGGTGCACAAGGACCGTGATGGCTACACGTAGGAAGATGCGCGAGGAAATTATGCCGGGACAACTTAAGTTCAATATGGTACACCACGGAAGCTTAGCGCCGGAGAAACAGTTTGTTGCGTCAAAGTCATGCGTCACAACAAATGATTGCGGCACAATAGTTTGATAAAGAAAGTTACGTGGGATCGTTTGGTAAAACCAATTAAGGGACAAACGATGCCGGGAAAACAGATAAATAATTACGTACACAAAAATCAAGGCTCATCCGTACAGAGTATCCCATAATTCGTGTACACAAAAGTTTGGTCGCCCTGATGGCTAATTCGAAGCACAAGCTCTTCCATAAAAGTTATATACACTCCACCCGAAAGCTAAGAGGCCGAGGAAAAGAAAAAAAAAAAAAGGGGGAGTGTTCGGAGAGTGGCTCGATCGAGAGGAGAATCTCAAATGAGGCTGTAAGCGAGCAATCCACCGGCCGCGCGAGAATTGACTCGCTCCCTCGTGGCTTTTTACGCCGGATGGGGTGTATCGAAAGAAGTTTCCAGCGCTGATTAATTGGAGGTCCCTTGTTGGGCGCGTTTGCCCTCTGCTGTTGTTGGGTACACAATGTACTCTTGTTCTTCGCAATTAGCGAGTCAATGCTTCGGGTGAAGGGCGCATCGGACCATCGGAAGTCTCGAGGACGTATCCAGGAATCGACGGCCCGTGCTGAATGTTTTTTTTTCCATCCTCACGCTGTTGGGTGGGCACAGTTTAATTCGCGCCTTGAGCCGAGGACTGGCTCTAGTTGGGTTGACTACGGGTGCACGCGCGTCTACGGGGAAAGGAAGTTCAAGAACTCTCGCGAACACCGATGTTATTGGTGCTCGGCTCGAAAAAGCCTTTCTACAAACGCGCGAACGCAGAGTTAAGGATTTTTCGGGTTCCACGTCGCTCTCGTCATTTTTTTTTATTCACGCTATTCGACACTTTGTACTCAAAACAGAGACTTGTTTTATGCTCGATTGAAACAAATCCTCGTGAAAGCTACCGATCCAACGCAAAACTAAAAATGAAAAAAAAGGTTGAATTATCGCACAGAGCTGTCGTATTTCCGGTCCCACTGGGCCCTGCCGGAAGTAAATCCCCCCGCTTGAAGCGGCACTAATTGAGAAAGAGAAAAACAGTGACCCAAGTATAGCACAAGAACCGAGGCGGTAAAAAAAGTAAGCCCAAGAAAGTAAAGCTCCAAAGTGCCCTCGAGCATCGACCGAGTAAGTGTCACACTCACCAGTAGAGACGAGTAGCGCAGCAGAGGCGAGCAACAACAGCAGACGTGTCGTCGTGCCACACGTAGCGATGGCCACGCACTCGCGCACAGAAATCATGTTACAGGCCAGAGGAGACAAAGAAAAATGTATGGGAAAAAGAAAAAACCGAAAAAGCGGGAAAAGAAAGACAGCCGAAAGAGTAAGTATTGTCCAACTTTGGTGCGACGAGAGCTTGCAAGCTCAGCCGAGGCAGCGCGCGCGGCCACTCGCGTGGCTCTGCGAGAATCGTAGAACGAGCGGCCCGAGGGTACCGCGCCGGCAGCGGCGGCTCTCCCGTTGTGCGCCTGTCCGTTGCGCAACCGGCGCCCAGCAGCAGCTGATTTGGTTGCTCGCGAAGCTACTTTAAAAAAATTTTTTTTGTGTCCATCATTCCAATCAAATAATGTTTGTATCATCCTCTGCAAGTGCAAGCTCATTTGTTTCACTGCAAAAAAAAAAAAAAAATTTTAATTAGAACCCGCTCGCTAATGTTTGATTACAGTCAATAAATCAGGGTGAGTTTCAGCGTGATTAATTAACGCACGATTTTGACATGTACAAATATTCAGTTCTCACTGGTGTACGTTTTAATGATTTATTATGAAGATATGTGACATCGTTGCCAGTCCATGAAACATCAACACAATCGCGGTGAATGTATTCGGTGACGGTAACGAGTAGTAATTAATATTAGTGCTTCGGTAGTGAACAAAAAAAAAGAAAAAGAAAAAAAAAACAAGTATTTGCACCGCAGCTGATAATTAATTATTCTGTTTGCTGCTCTGCGAATAATTAGGGGGGGGGGGTAAAAACACGGAGCGTTGTGTTGATCCAATTCGAAGGGTAGGGAGCAAAGTAACTTGAGTACACACGTTATACCTATACATTATACGCGGGACAGACAATCTTCGATACAGCATCCGCCGAGGCTGTGGTTGAAGTTGCCTGGCGGCATCTGGACCAGGTAATGGAGCTCTCTGCTTTACTTCGTAAAGATAAGCTCACAGAAGCGGACTCGGGCTTGGATTTGTATTATTAAACTTTCAGAGCTTGGCCGCGGACCCGAAAGTTTTGCGTGCGAGCCAGCTGGTGGTGTTTTTCGCCCACTTAGACTTGGAAATCGCTTGAAAAAATTCGGGAGAAGCTATACACCGTTCGAAAGTTTTGCCTTTTTTTTTTTTTTTTTTATTGATAGCTTGGGCAAGTGGGCTCTGCAACAGTTTCAAGTATGAAAAAAAAGTTTTGATTAATTTTGTATCAGTGGGGGGAGCTCGGGAGGCTCCACGAGTCCCTTCGAGCGTGGACTGATAATTTTGTGCACCGCGTCAGCGAACCAAATTATTTCAATGCTCGATGATTTATCACCAACGTTGGGGACTTTTTTTTCATTTCGACTTCTTTGAGCGAATCAACCGATTCTAATAATAGCCAAACGGAGGAACAAGCGAATGTTTTTTATTTTTGTTATCACCCAATGCATTGGCTAACGTTGCGAAACACTCGATAAGACCTTGTATTTTAAGACTTGTATCGAAAAATTCTATCACTTGTTTCCACGCTGATATGATACGGCGTTTTCCACGTTTATCGTCATACATGTGGAAAAAAAAAAAATGTATTGGTTACAAAATTCATTCCCACCAGCCCGAAATTAAAACGCAGTCGATTTGGGCAGCCTCGAGCTTTAGTTGCTATCGTGCCCCAAACCAGTGCACTTACTTAGATATAATATACCCAGACGGGGAAAATAATGTACGGCCTACGGCACTTTGATCTGCCAAATGCAGAGGTAAGTTGTCCAATAGATTTACTTACTTTATCCGATCCTAATAAAATCCATCAAGTAACACCATGCACATGCCATTGGTTACATTTGCGCAAGTGCATGTATACGTTGGACCGTTTTAGAGTGAAAACACAAATGACGCAACACGTGATCGACAGTTGTGTAAACAGAGTTAGAAATTTGCGTAACTTGGCGCATGCAATTTCCGAAGATTGTTCGTAGAAGCGTCGTTTAAGAAGCTTCCCCATGATTCTGCGGAGCAAAAACCGAGGTGTCGGATGAAAATAACAGAGCAGCCCTGTGCACGACGTGACAAGCGAATTTCTGAGTCTCCTGGCTTCTGCGTTAAAGTTATTTGCACTCGGAGTGTGCGGCGATGACGGGGGTGTGGCTGGAGGGAGGGAAACGGTGAGCCGTCAAATTACTTGCGGCTGTGGGGCGCGAGCATCGATCCAATTTCCGCAGCCCCCCCCCCCCCGACGAGTCGTTGCGTTTCTCGTCAATTAATCTTGGGGAACCTCTTTCGCCGGAAATTTCGGGTTACCGAAAAAAAAAGAGAACACACGTTCCACAACTTATGATGACATTCGTCTCTTGCCAGACCCGTTTTTTTTTCTCATGTCTAATTCATTGCTCGCCGGCTGGACTTCAGCGGCCCCTCCCACTTTACAGTGTACACGCGAGTCTAGACGAGGGGGAGTCGCTTCAAAAGTGCACTCTGTACGAAAGTATCTTGAAAAAACATGCAAACTCTTTGGCAGTTATCGACTTTTACTACATGAGCCACGACCGAAAACAACATTTACAGTTGGCTTATCTCGTGGCACACCCTCGGATACAATTGACGCACGATCGGTTGAGCGTACACGTCACGAATCGTCCGTTCGTGTGTACATGATTACAGCAATCGCAAAATAAGCGTCCACTCGTTGGTTCCCCAGATTCAAGAAAAACGTTTTGGCCTTTTTTTCATTGAACTTTGAGCTTGGTCTTGGATGCAAATTGAAAACTTCCTCTGTTTTTTTTGTTTTGTTTTACTTTCCGGTAAAAAGTTCGCAAAGTTCCAAAGAGGGTGTTTTATTTTAAACTTTGCAGACTTTCAAACTCCCGTGAACTGTGACTCAAACAAAAAATTCACTCAAACTGCGAGCAAATTTCGTATTGTGCGAGCAAAGCACGCATGAGAGGAAAAAACGATTTCTCTCTCACTTTGATATTATTCACGTTATTATCCCCGATAAAACTACCGATTAAAAAAAAAAAAAAATAGATTACCATATGAAATGGCACACGTGATCGATCAATTCAACTTTTTTTTTAATTCCACCAATAAACTCTCGGGAATAACATGTTTTCGAAGAAACGGTAGTTATCGTATAATTATTCCGAGTTAGCTTAGTTGGAATGCACAAGCGTCACCAAGCACAGAGGGAATAGGTAATGGAGCTTCCTGTACTGAACTTGGCGGAGATAAGCGCTGCTAAAGTGGCTAGGGGGGGAGGACGCGCACGCGAAACTCCAGAGCAGCTCTATATAAGGTTTGGAATCAAATTAAACTTTTACGACTTTATAGAGGCAGGTTCCGTCAAGTGGCCACGGATTGGTCATTTAAATCCAGCAGTCGCATAATGCACCCGGTATACGTATAGACAGGGGCCGAAAGTTATCCTCAATTTATCGAGCGGGGGAAAAAAACACGGAAGGCTCATCCTTCGTCTGAATTATCGTTGCAATAATGTCAAAAAAGAGTTTTTCCAAGAAAAGCGCCTGTTTCGTCCAAATAAACCGAATAGGTAATCAAGTGATTCACTCAAACATCGTCGATTCCCCGAGCCACGTGCTCGTTTCCCCTCTCTCTCTTCAGTGTGCAATAAAATTAACAAAAGCACATTAAACGAGTACTGCGATCCATCACCCGAGAAAAACACCATCCGCGTCTTATCGCGAGCGCGAACCCTCGCAATTCCATCGCTCTCTTCTGTGGGTAATCATAATAAGAGGAGAAAAACAAAAACCAAAAAAAAAAAAAAAAAAAGTGGTAACCAGCAAGTGGCGCGAGCATTTAACGCTCCGTCGCCTATAATATGCTGTTGTGCGCACGTACAGAACGAGTGCAAAAAAGCCGTCTTATCCCGCGCGAGCGGAGAAAAACGCTGCATTCGTAAACACGCGAGCGGTGCAGCGCACACACCCGCGCGTAATAGGCAGATTTCCATACTCGCTCTTGCCGGTCTTTCCCCTCCCAACGAGCGGGTAAGAGCGACAAGTTTAAATCGAGAGCTTACGGGCACACGAGTATACTACCCGCTCGAAGCTTTGACGAGTCTAAGCGACTGGTGCTTTTTTTTCTCCACCCCTTGGCCTCTCGGTGGTGAGTTCGGAGTGCAGTGATTTTACTTTTCGCGTGAGACGATGAACGGATTCGTGGAGCCGGTTGTCGGCACGCCACCCGATAAGGTAATGTGCCTTATTCTTCTTTCTGTTTTATGCTTCCTCCGTCTTAAACAACGAGACAATAACGCACGGGGGGTTGTCTAATTGACCCAATAGTGTTTTAATTGTCTCCGAACCGATTTGATTACCATTTTGTGGTGATTTTCACGCTTCGCTGGCATACAACGACTCCCGTATCCCATCTTGCAATCACGTTTTCATATCCTCTAATTGTTTTGCAATCCACGCGGCTATATTACCCGATAATTACGCTCGGCTTTCTCACGTGACATAGAAACCACGTTATTATGTATACAGACAGGTAAACAACTTCAGCTTGTCCTCATAAAGGCAGTCACGCTTTACTATCACGTAAGGATGATTGCAATAATCAGCGTGACATAGTTGACACTCGGCGTGTCAGAGATCCATCATGTACGACTGATTGCAGAGCGTATCGTCTTTGACCGATTTTTTCCCCTCATTTTTCCTGTATCTCAATTATATCACCGCTTTGAAAACCTAAGGTCAAGTGAAAAGAGAGAATCTCCGAGGGCAAATCCATTACGAAACGGACAAGCCATTATCCATCGGGCGCACTTAAGCGCCTTGGAAAAAAAAAAAAAAAAAAAAAAAAAAAAGTAAGGTGACAACCGCAGTGAGAGTGTATGTTTACCGAACTCGAGCAGCGCGTAAAGTGTTACGTTGGGATTGGGTTTCGTGTAGGAAAACCCGAGCCGACACAACCTGTTTGCCGGAGAAGCGGTGACCGGTAGTCTGGAAACATCGAGACCCGATCCCATCCGAGGAGCGAATAACACGAAGGCACCGATACGCCGCCTGTAATTATTTTACTCAGGTGTTGATAAAAAAAGTGACAAACTCCCTCTTCGTGTCACTCAAATAGCATAGAAAAAATTCGACAGTCGATCTCTCGTCGATACCCCAATCAGAACAATCGTGTAACATGTCGTACAGTGCGTCCTGGTAGGACTCTTGGAGCTGTATAGTGGACATACTTGTGCACGAAATTGCGAAAAACGAAAACATTTTGTGAAAAACACACGGGACGAGCCTTCGAAAACCCTAGCAAAACCAACTCGCCTGGAGTCTAATTAATTTTGCAAATTAACGCTGCATAGCAGCCATTGTGTCCCGGAACAGCTCGTCGAAGAGTCCCGTCTGTCCTTGATCCCTCCCCCGTAAATCTCTCTTGCGCTCTCGGTATAATTAATGTGCTTCCCGCCGAGCTCGCGTGCTTCCTTCGATCGGTCGCGTCGACGAAAATTTACATGTACACCTATATAATATGTAGGCCGACACACCAGCACCGCGGCTTTTGCACGTGGCGGGAGAGCCGCAAAAATCGCGAAACGCGGGAATAAAAAAAAAAAAAACGGGATGCCCTCGCGCGTTTATGCTAATGCGGATACACACACTCGCGCACACGTACGTATAGGGTGAATATAAACAATCCTGAAAACTAGGGTGCGAGAGAGCGCGTGTGGATTGTTGATTCAACGCAAGCCCCTTGTTATCATAAAACGTGCGAAGCTACGCTCGTGGGTTTCCGAAGCGATTACGTTCGGAGGAGTGTGAATTTATGTTGAGATTTCGTTTGGAATTTTCATGCCCGTAAACGTGTAAAGTAAAATTTGGGTGAAAGAATTTTGATTATTCCTTTGTAGTAGGGATGTGTCGTAATTTTCACCTGCTCCTCTTTTTTCTCGCTCAACTTGGCAGTAATGTTTCGTCAGCCTACAGCTTCCCTACATTATGGACAATGAGTGCTATTATGGTGAATGTGATGGTTATTGCCATGCGAGTAATAATAATTTTATGGTATCCGACGAAACGTGTTTACACGAGTGTAAATAAAAACCTTAGATGCAGAATAATGTCTTGTGTGTTTTTGTTGTCAGTATAATTCTCTGGGAGCAAAATTTTGTTCACCAAATTTGCATTGCCCGTCACAAAAATAAGAAAATAGTACGAAAAATTGATAAAACCCTTTGTACATAATTCAAGGTAATGCTGACCTCTGTGAAATCTCACTTTCATGGTGCGTGAGCTCATTTTAGTCATGTACCAATGGTTTGGCAGAGGTTAACGACAGTATCGGCCCCAGTTGCTACATGATTCACTGATTCTTGATTAATTAGGAAGTTGTTTTTCTCTCGAGCCAACGATGATAAAAATAAATACATCATAACAACACAGCAGTGTAGAGCCACGAGAGAACCTTGATACCGCTGCAAGAAAAAATAAAAAGCTTGACAATTTCAAGAATTTATATTCCGCCAGAAAATAATTTTTTATAAAGATATGGTCTATTGATCCATGGTACCGTATTACGTAGCACATTGGCGTTCACAAATTGTCCTTGACTCTGAAAAGTCGGTGTGCGGACAGAAAATCATGACGCAAATTCCTCTGAAAATTTCACTTACATATCTCTGGTTTCTCTTACGCCTTCTTTTTCAACTTTTCCCTTTCGTTACATCACTCTTGATCTCCGCATCTAGCTTCCCACCGATTACGTATATATCAACAAACAATGTCCTCCGCAACGACGAAAAAGAACGAAAAAGTCGTCACAAAAATACGCTATCTTGGCCCGGGGGGAAAAAAGTAACGAAACAACAACGCTACAGTCTTCGAAGCGGTGCAATAAAAAGTACGCGCAACCTAGGCAATTTTCCGTATCGAGTTCTTCGCAAAGAAAGAAATTACAACAGAAGTTAGGATATACCTAGAGGAAAAAACGCAAACAAACTCACGAGCGTTGATGGAGGGGAGCAAAAAAAAAAAAAACCCAATGAGATTGAGAGGAGATACAGGAGGGAGAGACACACTTTTGTATAAGAACACACGCGAGACCTGTCTCCGTAACGACGCAGCGGGTACTCGCGAGTGAGAGGTTGATTTACGAACTCCGAGGAGTATATAAGTGTATACCTGCTATTACCGTTTTCAAACATCTCGCGACACTTTTACTGCTCTGGTTGATCGTTCCCAGAGCGCAATCGATTAAATCTTTTTTTTTTTTTTTTTTTTGTTTCCTTGTTTCCTTGTTTCTTTCTTTTTTTGTGGCAAATTTTACCGATCGGATGCCAGAAACGCGGTTATCGGACGTAAGAGAATTTGGGTGGATGCTATTGTAGCGGATAGTATAACAATAATAAAGATACATTTTTGTTCTTTGTTACCTTGAAGCTGACCTTTTTTTCAGCCGAAACTGATGAAAGGCGGAAATTACATAAAGGAGGGCAGGGACTCATCCAAGAGCACCTGTCTCATCTTCTCGCCCAAAGAAGTCGACGAAGTCGGCGCCCTGGGACGCTACCTGCAACTTTTTGCCGTGAGTAAAAGCTCAGGGAATTCCGGCTGGCAGCTCCTCCTTGGCACGTCTCGTTTCTCCCGCCCGAAAGAGCGAGCACGCGCCACGGCTCGGGGTTTTTTTTTTTTTTTTTTCGTTCGTATACCTGCCAGCTTCTTTCGCCGAGGCCGCATTAACGCGCAGACTGGGATGGAAATTCGAATCGAGATATTCAGGGGCTTGATTTACTTATTATGCTTGCCTGGGAATTGAATTTTACTGCTTTGGAAAATTGTTTTCGACTTTTCGAGCCTTGAATCTTCTTTTGGGCTATCAAAAATAAATTCGCGCTCACTTTCGAACGTATGTTTCACGTTTCAACGAAATTTAACGTTAAGAGGATGAGAAGTATAATTTAATCAAACCAAAATTAGTATTTTAATTTTAATTGAAAAAGGTTTTATTTCGGAATTTTATTCTCTTAATTTAATTTAATGTTAAAAAAGAGTATAGGAAAATTAATTCCAAGATAAATTATGTTATGCAAAAAAGTTTAAAAAAAAATGTTACACAGTTGGAGAACAGTACCTTTTCTCTAATTAATGTGATTGGTTCAATCGTCTCCACAAATTGCAAAGTTCAAAAATAAAAAAAATAAAAAAAAAGTAAAAAAATAGTTTTTATAATTTAAAAAGTGAGGTACTCAATTATTTTCGTCCCGGACGTCGACGTGCAAATGTTAGTGTTCAAAAACTAAAAAATTCAATGACGAAATTATAGAAACATGAGGTCAATTTACTGCACATCGAATCGAGAAGCAGCTTGCGTCGAGCGAGCACATACGAATTCATGGTGGAATGCGCCCCGGGCGGCGATTTGTCGGGTGTTATCGAAGCCCTCCAAAAACAGAGCGGCTACTTTTCGATAATATCGAGGTAACATTGACCTTGAACAAAAAAAAAAAAAAAAAAAAAAAAATCAACGAAACCTCACCAATAGGAATTACCGAGACAACATGGGCACGGTACCGTGGTTTCCCCGCAGGATCCGCGACCTCGACAAGTTTGCCAACCAGATCCTGTCGTACGGCTCGGAGCTCGACAGCGACCACCCGGGCTTCACCGATCCAGTTTACCGCGAGCGACGAAAGTACTTTGCGGACCTCGCCTACAATTACAAACAGTAACCACCACACCATACGTACACCCGACACAAACGGACTTTTATCCTTCACTTGGGACGATGTTTTTATATTCCACAGCGGACAGCCGATCCCAAGGGTCGAGTACACGAACGAGGAAATCCGTACCTGGGGTGTCATATTCAACAAACTCGTCGACCTGTATCCAAAGTACGCGTGCAAGGAGCACAACCACGTGTTTCCACTGCTCATCGAGAATTGCGGCTACAGAGATGACAATATCCCGCAGCTCGAGGACATCTCGAACTTCTTGAAAGGTGCGTGTTCAACATCACTCTTCCATAAAGCAACGCCAGTCTTTGAAATATCGACCCGTCAACTACGCTCGAATAATCGAAAATGCCAAATAGCCGTCATAATTACCGATCCACGGCTCACGTTCCACGTGACACACACACACACGCGCGCATACCAGTTGTACATACCATTGTAATTTCATCTGCCCACGTTGTACTATGTACCAATAAATGCACCGTAGACTGCACGGGCTTCACGTTGCGGCCGGTGGCTGGTCTCCTGTCGTCGCGCGACTTCCTGGCTGGACTGGCGTTTCGGGTGTTCCACAGCACGCAGTACATAAGGCACGGCAGCAAGCCCCTCTACACCCCCGAGCCGGACGTCTGCCACGAAATCCTCGGGCACGTGCCGCTCTTTGCCGACCCGGCGTTTGCTCAGTTCGCCCAGGTTATCGGCTTGGCCTCGCTCGGCGCGCCCGACGAGTACATCGAGAAACTCGCCACGGTTGGTACATCCTCTTTTTTTGTGCACAATTGCAACATCCAATCTGCCCAGTCGGTTGGGCTTACAAACAATGTTTTTGTGGCGCGACAAATTTTTGTCGAACCAACCATCAGCAATTTCCCAAAAACCTCTTCCGTTTAGTCTGCATGTTTCGTCGAGCCAACTTGAATTTCTCCTCCACTCCGAGCTGTTGAGCAAAGCTCTTCCTTCGATCCACCCCTGATGGCATCGAGAATTTAGCACTGCGGGACTCTCGCCCTTTGTACCTCGGATTTACTCTGCTCGGGCAGCTAATGTAATATAAGTTGGGGTCGCGGTCGCTAGCTGGGTTCGAAGGTATATACTCGCGACATCGCTGCCGCAATTGAATTTCCATGGACCGCGGGAAAATCCAATTACGTTTTGATTACGCATTCTTGGATCATTCGTTCCTTTATTCAAGTATTCCGTTTTGAAATAAAAGGACATCGCTGTCATTTCGTACATATGACTCTTGAAACTATTTACGCGAGAATCGTGTTTTTTTTTTTTTTTTTTTTTTTTTTTTTTTTTTTTTTTTTTTTTTTTTTTT